AAATATCTATTGCTCCAAGGGTTCAGGGGATCTCGTAGTCGAGCAGTCTCGACTAGAGCTTTTTTACTTGTTTATAATAGGACTATCTTCATCAAGCTTTCACATAATGAAATGTGAATATTTGTAGAAGCGCAAGTCTCTAAGTCTGGAATATCAAGGAGTTTTTATTTTAATAACGAATAATTTGAAACACTGTGAATTTTGATGGAGTACAAAAGATTCTATCAGTTGAGAGACTTCCGAGTATGTGCTTTGCTTTCTCGACGACTATCGATGCCTCTTACGCAAGAAAAACGATCATTTCCAGAAATGCACGTCTCGACAAATTCGATTATTTGTGGTGATTGAAGCTTCTCAGCAACTAAAAGCGCTTTTTTCAAAGCTTCACTTATACCTTCCGTTTTATTTAAAGATGCATTGGACTTCACAGTGATAATAATGCTCAAGAAACTCCATATATTACTGTTGCATAGCTCTGCTTCTAAGAATAAATAGCGTTATAAGTTAAATCGTTGAAACAAAACATTATTCAAACCCTGCAAGGCCTTGCGAGCAACAAAACAACACTCGTCATAGTGATTGGACTGAAGATGAATGCATGCAATTTGATGAAGTAAATACGCTTTTTCAATCGAATATTTAGAAAATGCTATGCGTTTCTCCAAACGAGATATCAGTCGTCTGTTGAAAAAAAAAATACATTTAATTGCTTACCAAAATAACAAAACTTACTTGGATTTTATAATTGTGGGGTCCACTGACTCCTGATCTTGATGTGTGGATCGATCTCCGAAAACAAATGTGTTTATTTCTTTAACTTTATGCGGGTTATAATGCAATAATTGCAGAACTGGGCTTTTGTCACCAATTCGAAAGTTTTTAGGTACAACATACTGTTCGGATAAAGCTAAACCCAAAGTATTATAGACATCATTAATAAACTCTATCTTCCATGGCATAATTCGATTTGTTTTCAGTACTGTGTAATCTCCCATTACCTCCTCGATATAATTTGAAAGCCTCTGAGACAAACAATTTTAATTATTATTGTATATTCATTAGGGTATAATGGTTTTGTTAAAATGTATAAGTTAACAACAATTCTGTTTCACAATTTGCAACTGTGTCGTCAGTTTCTACAGTTACGCCAAATATTCACAAGTGACAAAAAGATCAAAACGTTATCTATGATCACGGAAAAATTTTCTTCACTGGTCAAAGTGAAAAACAAAGAGACTTAAAACGGTCGATTCACTAAAAACAAATCAAAGTACGATAACGGAAAACAATGTTAAGTGCAAAAGGCAGTGCATCTAAAATTGTAAGATCCGTTCCCAGCTTTACCTCCGCAAAACATCGAGAGCCTTAGTAGGAGCTACCAAGAAAAGCTGGGAACCCGCGCACACTCAATGATTCCAGGATCAGTGATCATTCCCCGCAGGATTTATGCAAGCTAATTAAGCCGTGTTAAGAAAGTTTTATAAAACAAGTAAGAAAGCTCTAGTGGAGACTGCTCGACTACGAGATCCCCTGAACCCTTGGAGTGATAGCTATTTCAATTTCACAACACCCGAAATAGTATAAAATGCATATATGTATACATTTAAAATTTGGAGACTCTAGTGTTAAAGGTGTAGGAGATATAAATTTATTACTGGTTTTCGATAATATTTTTAATCCGTCTGTCGGTCTGTCCGTATGTATGAACGCGTCGATTTCAGAAGATATAAGAGCTAGCGACTTCAAAATTTTTTTTTAAATGTCCGTAATTACAGCGCGGATATCAAGTTTATCATTAAAAATCGATAACTCATCCCGATCTTTTTTAATCGATAAAAAACCTTATCGAAAACCAGTTATAAAATTATATCTTCTACACTTTTATTGCTAGAGTCTCCAAATTTTTAATGTACGCTTATATGCAATTTATACAATTTCGGTTTTTGTTAAAATGTACCCCCACCTCTAAATTCACCCCCTCACCCTCACTTTTGTAAAAAGCGTATTTCAAATACTAGAGACTTGTGCTTTGGCAATTACATGCATATTCATGTTATAATCATAATCTGAAAGTTTCATGAAGATCGTACGTCCANCCCACGAATAACCATCGAAACGCTTACATGTTGCTTGCATGAGCGTGACAAACGCTTTTATGATTTCGGTATACCCTTCACTCAAAAGGAAAGAGCTGGGATCGTCGCGAACAATTTTCAATTTCTGTGCGCTTCTGCTATTTGAGAGGCCATAGAGAGAGAGAGAGAGAGAGAGAGATAGAGTGAGAGAGAGAGAGTAGGACAAATAGCGCATAGCCGTGCTTCATATAAGAACCCTCGATGGATTTCCCAGCTCTACTGTAAATGTAATTATTTTATATTTTCGATAGTACTATCACTGACCAAACAACACATAGACATGACCATTTCGTTTGCGTGCTTAGAGCGCACTGATTTCGTCGTGCTATCTTTCATTACCCGAGCCAGCCAATACCAAGCCGAGCGAATACGAAGTTGGCCGGGACCTGCTAAACAGATGATGCGTGGAAAAACGTTGCTCTACATGTCTAGTCTATGTGTTGTTTGGTCAGTGCTTATAGTATACCATAGACTAGTATCCTGCTACACCTTATAATATAACATAGGCTAGTATCCTGCTACAATATCCACCCCCTCACCCACATATTTGTAAAAGGCGTATATCGAATACTTGAAACTTGTGCTTTGGCACATGTATGCATTTCAATGTCATGATCACGATCTACAAGTAGCACAGAGATAGTCCCATAGTAAGCCTACACTGCAGTCCATGCGTGTTTATGCGTGCATGCCTATGGGTATCTGTGTGTGTTTTTTGTGTAAGCAGAAACACGCGAATAATTATTGAAATATCAATTCATAGAAGGGTTCAGCGGATCTCGTAGTTTTGCAGTCTCGACTATAGATTTCATAACTGTTTTTCCTATTGTACGCAGAGTTTTGATAGCATGTATGTATATGTGTATGTATATAGTGTGCTTGTTTTTTTCGCGTGACCTGTACGTAACTTACCGTCAAATTTTTTTGGTACCGAAGACGTCTAATAGTTTGTAAAACAGAAATCATATTTCGTCGTGTTTGATACTGTATTCGATTGAGAAGAGCCTCTCTGAATTTAAGTAACCGATCTTTGTTAGAATACTTTTTGTACCGCACGTAATACATTGGTGATCGAGCTTGTATAATTTTCTTGATTTGTTGAATATAATTGATTGCATTATTAGACTTTTAAGTCATTAATATTAAAACATACCAAAAACTTCTTAACGACTTCGTATTGTTTAGCCACCATTGTACCCAGAAAATCTTTGGACATTTTGCACTGGTCCAAAAGTAAACTTGGGTTGCTGAGACCGTTACGCATGTAAAAGGAATCTAGATTAAATTATGCCCAATTTGAATATATGTATGTATTATAAATCAGGAATCCCGAATCCCGTATCGCTAAAATTTATGAAGCAGAATCCAGAAGAGCTCTCTAGTCGAGGCTGCTTAACTTCCTGTCAGGAGCAGATATTCCAATCATTCACAAAAATATGTGCACACATGCATACATACAGACGGATGGACATATCGAGTCAGCTCGTCGCCCTGATCAGGAATATATATACTTTGTGGGGTCTGCCACGCCTCCTTCTGCCTGTTGCATATTTTTAACAAAATCATTATACCCTGATTTTCACAAAAAATCATTATACCCTGATTACAAAATCATTATACCCTGATTTTTATGAAACAAGCTCTAACTGTAAGATGAACAATATAAAATTTTATACATTATATTTTTAAGGGATTTTAAAATTACAACCGACATAGATGTCTAAATTGTAAGCAAACTTAATCTGCGTGTGCATTACACGGACTCGCAAT